TCATACTTTCCTTCCAAATTTGACTCAAACCAAGCTCATATTCTGCCACTTCTGTGTTCTGTTTGTTTTTGTTTTTGGTAGGAAATAAGCTGCTACAGGCCAGTCAGCTTTTTCTATTCTCCTTCCCTCAATTATGATGAATATAGTTTTCACTCTTTCCTTAGCTAAGCATTTCAGAGTTGGACCTTGCAGTAGTCACCAATATTATTCCAGGCTCAATTGCGGGCCATATTGCCAGCATGAAATAGGTCTGTGTTTACAAACAAGGACGTTGGTGATGATTATTTAACAGTATTTGGCTGAATAGATGTGATCTAAATGTAGATACATTGAGAAAAATGAGAGTTAAACCACTTATTTCCCCATTCAGATATGTTTCCACAAAAAGCACATTAGCCTTTTTTCTTACTCTTTGAGCTTACTTTTTATTAAAATAATTGCATTCCTATTATTAAGTATTCACTGGATCCATATTGTAAATAAGATTTATAATATGCCTTAAATAAATGATACATACTAAGTTACAGTTGGTACTTGGCTTAGTTCAACTTCCCAGCTACTTTTAATCATCACTTAATGCAATTTTTTTTTTAAAGATTTTATTTATTTATTTGAGACAGAGAGAATGAGAGACAGAGAGCATGAGAGGGAGGAGGGTCAGAGGGAGAAGCAGACTCCCTGCCGAGCAAGGAGCCCGATGCGGGACTCGATCCCGGGACTCCAGGATCATGACCTGAGCCGAAGGCAGTCGCTTAACCAACTGAGCCACCCAGGTGCCCACTTAATGCAATTTTTAAACATAAGATGTTCATACCATTTTCTCTTCTTTTTTACTCACACATTTCAACATTTTTCCAGAGGCTTCAGAAATGTAATTCTTTTTTCCTTTTCTTTTTCTTCTTCCTCTTCTTCTTCTCCTCCTCTGCCTCTTTCTTCTTCTTCTGGTTTAGACTGATAACTTATTTACTTATGAGGTATAGTTGACACAGAAATATAATTCTTAACGCCCATACAATCTGTTATACTATCTGCATCTGCAAAAATCAAAATTTTTATTTCATTTCTGACATCTACAAATGCATTTGCACAGAAACCTGCTTTTAGCCTAGGGCTTTAGGTCAGACTGCCTGGGTCTGACTGTGGACTTGGCTCGGCAGAGGCTCTGTGATCTCGGCTAGGTCTTCCTTGCCCCGCTGTTCTCATCCACACAGGTCTGATAACGGGAGTACCCATGCCGGAGGATTGCTGTGAGTACCAAATGTGAATTACATGAAAAGCCTTTGGGTCAGTGTCCAGCACAGAGTAAGCCCTTGATAAAAGTTGCCTCTTAGTCTTTTCTCATTCTTATTCTTAATTTTTGCCAACATCTCCATTAGAAATTGCCATCTCGTTCCCCAGGCTGCCTGCATGTCTGCACAGGTTGTGCACTGCATATCCTTAATTCTCTTCATTCTTCACAGTTTATGGAGAATCCCTTGAAAATTCTCTACTCCTTGATTTAAGTGGCTTTCTGGGCAGAGTAAAATAAAGTAGTTTTGTGTGGGGGCCAGCTGGAGGCCTTGCATTAATTACAAGAGTAATAATAGTGCTCCCTAAGAAGGCAATTGTTACTTTTGGAAATCTCAGGTGAACAGTGCTTTCTAGAATAAATACGCTTTGGTCGGGACGCCTGGGTGGCTCGGTTGTTAAGCGTCTGCCTTCGGCTCAGGTCATGATCCCAGGGTCCTGGGATTGAGCCCCACATCGGGCTCCTTGCTCGGTGGGAAGCCTGCTTCTTCCCCTCCCACTCCCCCTGCTTGTGTTCCCTCTCTCACTGTGTCTCTCTCTGTCAAATAAATAAATAAAATCTTAAAAAAAATAAAATAAAATACACTTTGTTCGACAACAAGCAATTTTATTTCTTCACAGGTAGATGCAAACCAAGAGTCAACTAAGAACTTAAGAAGTTGTGTAAGGAGCTATGTGGAATCGGAATGACTGCATTGTCTAGAAACCAACCTAGCTGACTTTCTGAATGAATTTGTCTTCAACTAATTTACTGTTAACCTGTACCCCTATAGCTAACTATATTGCTTACGAGTCCCAGTTAGACTACATGAAGTCTGCCAAGTTGAATTTCATTTCTCTGTCTCAATTTTTCACTCATCATTTCAAGAGAAACTTCACAGGGATGTAAAGTACTTTGAAATGTAAATACAACTATATATATTTTAATTTTATATATATATAATAAACCACAAAATACTATGCAAATATCTTATTAAAATTGTATGTTTTCAGGGAGCCTGGGTGGCTCAGTCATTAAGCGTCTGCCTTCAGCTCAGGTCATGATCCCAGGGTCCTGAGATCGAGCCCCGCATCGGGCTCCCTGCTCCGCGGGAAGCCTGCTTTTTCCTCTCCTACTCTTCCTGCTTGTGTTCCCTCTCTCCCTGTGTCTCTCTCTGTCAAATAAATAAATAAAATCTTAAAAAAAATTGTATGTTTTCTCTGAAAGAAGATAAAGGTCCAAAGATTGTTTTAATTCACATTTTTTAGGAAGACTATCTTTCAATTAAAATTAGGAATAGTGGTCTTTGTGAATGAGGAAAAGTCTATTTAGATGTTGGTTTCATTCACATGGTGAGGGACTCCAGTTCAGATCTCTGTATAATATAGTGCTGTTTTTTTCTTTTCAGAAATGCCTTTAGTTTTCAAAGGTCATCTGTGTAAGCAGGTAAGACCAAGGTCATAGACCCTCCCTCACTGTGTGCTGATGAGGTTGTACTTTGGGTGAATTTTATTTTGGATCAGCAAAGACAAAGAGTATAATATGGTGGAAAGCACAGTGGATTTAAAATTAGCAGACCTGCATTTGCCTTTGATTCTCCTGAGTAATCTCAGATAAATTAATGAATCTCTCCCTACTACCTTGCTTTTCTATCCTCTTGCTGATCCCTCTGAAATGTATTGCATGTCTTGATTGTTCAGACACCCACCTACTGAGTATCAGTGGACTCAAATACAACCATTTGTTGTTATCTCCATAAAAACAATAAACATAATCTTTTTAGCTAGCTAGATTGTTTTCTAGCACTTCCTTGGAATCTCAGAGATTAATTTTGGTTCAGATCTCAGAGATTATCAGATGTCTGTTTTTTTCTTTGCATATTAATTTAATACTAAGCTTTAATTAGAAAATATATGATATTTATTAAAGTAAAAATGTTCTTTCATGTCCTCATATTCTATTAAAGACTTAAGAAATTATATACTTCCAAAGGAAGAAAGATATATTTAAAAAGTACAAAACATATATGAAAAAAATTTGTTGCTGTTAGAAACATGCTCCCCAAATTCATATGTGGAAGTTCTAACTGCTAGAATGTTATCTTACTTGGAAATAGGGTCATTGCAAATATAATTAGTTAAGATGAGGTTGTCCTAGAGTAGGGCAGGTTCCTAATGTGATATGACTGGTGTCCTTATAAAAAGGGGAAATTTGGACACAGGCACACCCTGGGAGAATGTCCATGAAGCCGAAGGCAGAGATCCAGGTGCTGCTTCTACAAGCCAGGGAATGCCAAAGATTGCCAGCAAGCTCCCAGAAACTAGGAGAGAAGCCCCAAAAGGCTTTTAGGAGATTGTTGGTAGAAATATAATTGTTAAAGGTGCTTCTGGTGAGGCCTCAGGTGGAAAGGAGGAACATGTCTTTGGAAACTGGAGAAAAGGAGATCCTTATTAAAACGTGGCCGAGGACTTGGCTGAATTGTGTTGTATTTTTGGAAAATAGAACCCATAAGCAACAGACTTGGATATTTAGCTGAGGAGATTTCTAAGCCAAGTGTTGAAGGGGTAGCCTGATTTCTTCCTTTGATCATAGTAAAATGGAAGAAGAGAGAGATGAATTGGCTGGACAACCATCTGCTAAAGAGATTAGGCCTGTGGCTTGTGATCCCACCAACCATCTCAGCAGAATGCCACCGGCTTGGACTTGAAGGGGATAGACATGGGATGGAATGAAGGCAGCCTGCTGGACTTCTAGGATTCCACAGGCAAAAAATGGGCTGACAGTGCTATTCAGCTGTGAACACATGAAAGAGAAGAATGACTGACCTCCCAAAGCAATTCAGAGGATGGCAAGGCTGCTGTGGCCAAAGCAGGGCTGCAGGGCTCAGGCCTTCAACCAGCTGTGGTGCCTGTGAGGCTGCATGAGCCTTCTGCTTAGGGCTTGCTGAGTCAATGTTGATATGGCAAGTCAGCACCAGGTCTGAACTCTGCTCTCTGCATCGAACTCCTCAGTTTGGAACCTGGATTCTGCTCTTGGTTCCCATGCGGTTGGCATCCTTGGTGAACTTGGGCCACTTCTTTTCATCCCTCTTTGCCCTCTTTTGTGTTTCTGTTTTCTGTTGCGCTGTCTCAAAGTGGTATTTGTCGTAAGAAGAGAATCACATGGTAGGACGTTGGTATAGACCCCTATCATAAGCCTGTTGTTCAAGCCCCACTGACAGCCTGGTGAGTTTGTGGTTCTCACTGGACTCATGTCCAGTGGGACAGAATTTTCTGTGACTAATGAAACTTGATGAGGTTCTCCTACCATCTCAATTTTTTGTCCTACATGCTTGGTTTTGATCCATCAAGAGCGTTCCTTCATTTTTCTGCCTGCTGGGGTGCAGAGTGCCAAGTCTGTATTTGGAGGAGAATGACCATCAGGTTGGGGGCCTGAGACCAGAAATGTTCTACTGACCACTGCCAGCTTGCATGAGCATGTCTCAGTCACCTCCAGGAAAATCTGCTTCTTACATGTACTCTCATTTTGCTCCTAATTCTTGCACCCATTTCCAAATGACATACCTTCACTGAGGGTAATTTGGTGGCCACTCTGGGTAAGATTTGACTGGAATGAAATTGTTCATATGACAGATACTTTAGGAAAGAAAAGGAATATAATTTCTTAGACCCAATGGTCACCATTTTTGACAGGTGTGCAGAGCCCCCAAATGAAATTCTGATTCAAAACTTGCTTCCCTAAGAGTGTTTGACCAGAGCTAATGAGCTATTTGATTTTTGGCAACAATGGACTGGAGTCATTTCCCTAGTAAATCCTCCTCTACCATGTCCTTGGTTGATTTTCAATATCAACTCTCTCTTTCCCCTCATCCTCTGATCTCTCTCCTTCCTCATCTTTGTCAACTGCTCCCTTCTCTTGTCCAGACCCCCTACTTTTTTTGTGATGACTCTCCTAGACTCCAAAATGCCAACTGCCTCTTAAGATCCACTCCTTCAGGAGCCAGCTATTCAGGCAACTCTAGAACTTATATCTTGGGCCTGGACTGAATTAAAGATTTCTCTAAAAACACATACTATTCATGAAAGAATTCAGAATTATTTTGGGTACATATGATCCAGGGTTACCTGACCTCTATCAGCTTGTACACATGGTGGTCAGACCTCAGATGCTAAGTCCTGGCTGGCAAATGTTGGTTAGACTACAAAGGATCTATAGGATGCCTCTTTCTACAATAAACTTGAAGGTTAAAAAAAAGTTTAGAAAAGTTAAGTCTTCTAAAAGTCACATCTGAAACATTTCCAATAGAAATTGATTGGACCATAATTTAATCATGAAAAACAGAGAAAACATGCAACTATAGGAGATTTTCAGGAAAGACAAGAAAGCACTTTCCAACAATATTCAGGAGTTTTAAAGAAGGAACCAGTGTAACAGTGGCCATTCAACTTCATTTTGTCAATGAAATTAAATCTGAAATTGGAGAACTAATTCAAAAACAGAAAATAGAATGGGAAATAGCCCCTTTATTTGAACTACAATAACTGGAAGGCCATTTTGAAGGAGCTTTAGAATAAAAATGAAATAGAACCCCAAATAAACTTACGCCCTGTAGATCAAGTAGCTAGGTGATCACCTTCTGACAAGGACACTTACAGATATTGTAAATAGAAGGCAACCTGGAAAAAAAGATGGTCTCATCTTGCCAAGTAAAAACAAGACAAAGAAAACTCCTTCAAGGGGGTGTCTGGGTGGCTCAGTTGTTAAACGTCTGCTTTGGGCTTGGGTCATGATCCCTGGGTCCTGGGATCGAGCCCTGTATCAGGCTCCCCACTCAGCGAGGAGCATGCTTCTCCCTCTGCCTCTGCTGCTCCCCCTGCTTGTGCTCTCTCTCTCTCTGTGAAATAAATAAATAATTTTTTTTAAAAAAAAGAAAGAAAAGAAAACTCCTTCAAGTCAGATCAGTGAGCATGCTTCAAGGAAAGCAAAAGCATCCAACACCCTGCCTTACCCTAAAATACTCAGTGGTGAGTTACCTATATAGATAGAGAGCCAACCTTACCAATTCCTGGTGGGTATGGTTGCTACTCTTTCTATGTTAAACTCTGACATCTTTGCTCAAACTCTTCCAGATAAACATGCCAAGAGGTGGTAGATGTTTCAGATAACACACAGCTTTTCCCAATCTCCCAACTTTTATTGGTAACCTTTTGGCCCTTTGGCTGGAACATTCCTTACTTCTGTGATACCACCCTTGCACATTTAATAGGGAGAGACTTATTTTGCAAATGGAATTGTAATATGATATGCACAGTAGAGGAACTGTTTCTTGAGGTTCTAGTGGATTCTTCTACTTATAATCGGATGGTTTCTGCTCTGGATATACCTTTGCCTTCTCCATTAAGTTTGATGTATACCCCAAGTCAAGATCTTGACCCCATACTTGAAATTCTATGGGCTTAAAAATTCCAATGAAATATGAAAAAAAAAATGAAGCAGAACCCATTAATTCAAAAGGATCCACCAAACTGTTAGATAAATTTCCCTAATATTCCTTAAAGCCAGAAGCAAAGGAAGAGCTCAAATCTCTAGTTAAAATGTTTCTATCCCTTGTAATACTCTGTACTAGCTTTTATGACTCTGGTCTTGCCAGGAAAGAAACCAAATTGGCAAGGATATTGATTTGTTCAAGACATCAAGGCTGTCAACAAAATTATCTCTTACTTTGTAGCAGTACCCAACCCAAATACCAATGATGTTCTTCAATTCTATCTGAAGCCACTTGCTTTACTACAGTATGACTTTGTTCTTTCTTTATTAGTGTGCCTTTAGATTAGGATAGTCAATACCTTTTTGCTTTCATTTGGGGAGGACAACAATACACCTAGACAGTCAT